TGGAATTACGCACATCTTCTCATTTACTCGTATCACTCACCCTTTGGATTCATATTTCTTTTTTTACCTTCTTCACTCACTTCCACCATATTTACAGAGTCTACTCAATTTATTGTTTGATAAGGCTTACAATTCATTGATGGTCACTACTTGCCTTACAATCAAATTTCTTAATTACAAAGAACAAATTACCCAAGTTATCTACCGGGCAAAAAAAAAAACACCCAATTCTACAGATTTTAGGAAAACATTTTCTCACGTCAGAAAACAATTTTTGTACATATTAGGCAAATGTGATCGATCATACTTTTAGAATTCTCAAACAAGAAAGTGCAACTGATTGGACTTTTTAAAACAACATCAGTATTGTTAGGCCTCTAAAATAACATTAAAAATAAATAGGAATAAAAACAAAAATAGCACAATCAGTACAAACACTTTTAACGATAGGCAAAAACTCTCTTTTTTATATTTTAAAAAATATGAAAAATATATAAAAATGACAAAAAAATAAAAACCCTTTACTTTTATAAAAAGTATAGATAGACGGGTGGAGCTAGAGAGGGCCAGCAGGGGCCATGGCCCTCCAAAATTTTCCCGAATCCTTCTTATACCCCCTGTTAAATTTAATATTTTATATAAATATCCTTACTTGTGGCCCTTTAAATTCATATAAAATTTTAAATGGCCCCCCAAAATTGCTCAAAACACTCATTTATTGTCCCTATAATTATGAATTCAGAAATAATATAGCTTGTGTTACCTCAAAACACATATAAAATTTTTATTCGGACCTTTTTAGTCTATTTTTGAAAGCTCAAATCATATAAATAAAAATATAAGTTCATTGTTGGTAGATTTTACAACTATACATCTTTATTTACATGTACATATACACATCAAGGTAATAATGACGTGTATTTTTTCTCAAAGTAGAATTAAAGTAGTCAAATTTTTATTTTTCCAAAATTAAAATAATTGTTGAATAAAATTTAATTCTTGAACATTTTTTATTTTTTTCTTTACAACTTCTTTTTATCTATAACTTATCTCTTCCTCTTCTTTATTTATTTTTCTTGAACATTTGTTTTATTCTTATTAGTATTAGCATTATAATTAAGCAGACTATTACGGAGCATTTCATTATTTATTTATTTATTTATAAATATTTCATATATGTTTTCTACACAACTCAATTAAAAAGTATTCTAACACATTAATTTTATTAGTAGTAATTATATTATTTTCGATTAAAAGAATAAGCGGTGTATAAAAATGTAAAGATAGTTTTAATATTATATCCCTTGTTTGATTGTTATAGTCACTCAATATAAATAAGGTAAAGATTAAATATTGTAGTCTCGATTTATGGTTTTGAATTGAAAAATAAAAAATAAAAAATTTATTAAGTCTTGATTTTAAATTTATTTTGAGAAATTGGAGAATACGAATGAGTAATTCAACTTCAGTTGAAATTAAAATTTGTGACTTTAAAGAGACTTTTAAATTAACTGATTGGATACACATGCAGTTTGTGTACATTGTGATGAATTGGATTTCCACTGACTTTAAAATTTTAGCGGGACCATCGTTTTTGTACTTTTCTTCTTTTTCTTTTTTTTCTTTTTTTTTTTTTTTTAGTTAAAGTCGTTTTTGTACTTTTTCTCTCAACTTTTATACTCAAACTTGGCCACCAAGAAATAGACTTCGAGAGGAAAGGCCAAAGAAAAGAACATGCTAGAACCAAACAAAAAGAATCTCTCTGGTCACTCGTGGGGTCACTTATCTGATTTTTCTTTTTCCTCCCACTTTTTTTTTTTACCCCCAACTAGTGGAAGTAAATAATTATTATTGTAACAATAATAATATAGATAAATAAATAAATAAACCTTCAACTTTTACAATTTTATATAATAATAAATTAAAAAATAATTCTATAAAGCAAAATTAACAAAATTTCAAAGTTATACATTTTAAAAGAGATGAAAAAGTTAATTTCATTGGTGAGACAAACAATTTACGTTTTCTTAAAAGAAGAATATCCTCCCGTCAAGATGCAACAAAATTACTCGTCTTTCAAAATACAAATAATCATTATAACTCACAATATCTCTCCTTCATGGAGATAGAATGGATGTCACAAGTGTAATATATGCAAGAGAAAAAGTTATAAATACTTTTAAAAAATATGCAAAAGACTAAAATAAAAAAAAAAAAAGGCAAAATTATATGAAGAAATGTAAAAAAAAAAAAAAGAAAAAGAAAAAGGATGGTATTTAATGAATGGAGAGAGCATTTCAGTATAATATCTGATGTATTTTCGTCTTTTATAATATTAATTTAAAAAAATGAAATACCATTACCGTGAGCTATTAAGTCCAACACTTGTTATGTTGTCATTATGCAACAATAACTCTACTATTTTTTTATTTTTAAATTAATACTAATTTAAAAATGATACTCCGTATGCCATAAACGTGAATGATTAGGTTCAATATTTATATTATCATTATGTATTGGATATCTCTACTACTCTCTTTGTCCCAAAAAGATTGTCGATCTCTGTTGGAGAACATTTTCTCAACAAGACTAAATTGAATTCAAAATCAAGTGTTTCTTAACCCATGTGTTGTTTTTTAACATTACCTAATGACTTAGTTAGTGGAGTATCCAATTCCCCAAATATGTGTGCCTGTGTTTTAATTTCCTTCTCCCTAATTTTTAATATATATATAAGACCAAACTGATCTTAGGGAACTCAGTTAAACCAACTAATTAAAAAGGAAAGGGAATTGACTTCCACTGACTTATAAAAAAATACAAGAAAAAAAGAAAAAAAAAAAGAAAAGAAAAAAAAGAGAGAGAAGAACATACTAGAAGTCTAGAACCATAGAAAAATGAGTCCCTCTCTGGTCACTGGTGGAGTCACTAATTTCTTTTTCTTCCCACTTTTCCTTTCTCTTCCTCAAAAAATACACAAGAAAGGAACATACTAGAACTCAAAGAAAAATGAGTCCCTTTGGGTGGTGGAGTCAATAATTTCCTTTTTTCCTCTCACTTTCCCTTTCTCTTCCCTAGGAAATACACAAGAAGAAAACATACTAGAAACCATAGAAAAATGAGTCCCTCTGGTCACTGGTGGGGTCAATAATTTCCTTTTCCTCCCACTTTTCCTTTCTCTTCCTCCTGAGAAAGCTTTATCACTAAAGTTAGCATACATCCAATAAGTGGAACTGAAATTCCTAGAGTATATTTTTCATTTGTGTTTTTCGGTACATAAATAACATAATATTTCTTCAAAACATTCACATGCACCACACAACTAAATTAAAAAGTACTCTTAACACTTTACATTTTGATTAGTAATTATATTATTTTCTATTAGTAAAATAAGTGGTGTACGTATAAAAATATAAAGATAGTTCTAAATTTCTAATATTATATCCCTTATTTAATTTTTTATTTTGCTAGCTTTATTAAAAATAAATATATTATCAACATTTTATATTGTCTCACTCATATATTAATTAACATAAATTGATTACATGATTAACTAATGATAACAATTTACAAAATTATTACAATAATAAATCAGAAAATTATTCTCTAAAACATAATTAGCGAAACTCTAAAATTATCAAGAGGGGACAATGAACAAAAAATTGATACAATTCAAAATGTTGCAATTGAAAAAATATATATAGGAAAAAAAAAATGGCCACCATTTAATGCATTAGTAAATGTCGACGCCGTAAAACATGGAGTTGAAATTGAAATTAATCACTCTATCTAAATAATGTAATGACTAATATGTGTACACACAGTTTCTCTAAGTGTGAATTGAAAAAAAAATATTCCGAGTTGCACTAAAAATATAGTCTTGATTTTAGAATTGTGTTGGAAAATTGAAAACACACACCATCACAGTAAAATATATTTTGTTTCATTCTTATTACTATTAGCACTCTAATTAAGTAGAGTGTTTTTTTTTTTCATTTTTATTTGGTTATTTATAAATAATTCACATATACTTTCTACACAACTCAATTAAAAAGTAACCTAACACATTAATTTTAATTAGTAATTATATTGTTTTTGATTAAAAGAATAAGTGGTGTATAAAAATATAGAGATCGTTTTAATATTATATCCCTTGTTTAATTTTTATTTTCCTAATTTTATTACAAATACATAAATTATTAATAGTGTATTAATGAGCTAGTTTACATAAAAACAAATAAAAAAGTTAAAGATTATTTTCTACATGGCATTTAATATTTAACAACAATTTTAATTTATAGACAATTGTTTTTGAATATATTAAAATATATGGGCTAACTGCATTTGGACGTACTTAATTATTATGCGGATCTTAACATTTTTAATGGTCAATTTAATGCAAACATCATAATTAATAGACTTTATATATTGAATTGAATTTTTATTTTTATTTAAAAAAAAATCTTAAATAATACATAATAGGAGAGACTATATAAAACATAAATACAATACTTAAATTAAAAATTAAAATATTTTTAAATACGTAATATATACTAGATTATATAAAAATATTAACAACATGTCATTTTTGTTGTTGAATTTTAAATGTTACTCACAAGCGCACTAGTCTACTGGAATAACCCAATGGAATGCTTTGATTAAAAACTAATGTGAATCCAAGTTATTTTTTTAAATCTAATCTAGTTAACAAAAGTTTGTTGGTTAAGAAACTAAACTAAAAATGCAAATAAAATAAAGATTTAACAAATAAAAAAAATATCTAAGGCATCGATTTCACTGCCATTAAATTCATAATCTTCGAAATATTCATTCATTAATTCTCAATTTTGAAATAACAATCTACAAATCAATCGGACAGCTTCCTCAAAATTTAGTAATAAAACACAACTAAAATATTTAATAAAAGATAAACCTTTTCTTTTCCCTCCACTCATTTTTGGCTTTCTTGTTGGTTACTCCCAAACTCCTACGTCACCTCTTTTATTCATTTAATTTTCTTTTGTTTTTTTCTTTTATTTCTCTCCACTCATTTCTTCTTTCTTTCATCAGTAGTCTTCCACATATATATACATGATATACTTGTAACTTGCATCATTGCTCACATAATCAATGACATCCCTTGGAGTGGAGAGCAAGTTTGTTATCTTGGCTTACATTAGAAGCTCATCCTTGAGCCTATACATGTCTATAATCCTTGTAGTCCGAAATAGAAAGAAAAGGAAGCATCAATGTATAAGATTATATTACTTTATTTTACCTCTATTTTTCTCTCTATTTATATATTCTATTACACTGTCTATAATATATAAAATTATAATACGTTATCAGCACGAGTTCTAACTATCTGAGACCTGATCAAGAAGCTCTCTCTCCCTCTTTCTATCTCAATTATATATCTCTCTTGTGATATTAGTTTTGATAGATTATTGGGTTTGCTTGCTTTATTGAAGAAATAGTATTTCTCACTTTAAAAGGTAAGAAAATCTTAATTATTGATTATTGTTCATGAATTAATTTGTCCACTTAAGTGATATATGTGCTCAAACTATGGTCGATTCTACAGCCTTTATTATTTAATGATCTACTAATTATGGTCGGTTCTACTGCCATTATTATTTAATGATTTACTAACTATGGTCAGTTCTACAGCCTTTATTATTTAATGATCTACTAACTATGGTTGGTTCTACCGCCTTTATTATTTAATGATTCACTAACTATGGTCGGTTTTACGGCCTTTATTATTTAATAATTTATGGCTAGTTTTACCACTTTTAATGTTTAATAATTCACTATGGTTAGTTTTACCGCCTTTGTTATTTAATTATACTAGAATTTTAGTAGTTCTTGTTATGTTATTGTTTCACTTAATGCTATTTTATTATTAAGATATATGTTTATTTTAATATTATGCTAAATTGTATTCTTTTATTGTTGTTATAGTTATTCTGAAAATGTCAAACTTGACAAAGCCGGAATTCGTGGCCTTGGACATTTTTGGCAAAAATTATTTATCTTGGATTCTGGACGCTCAGATCCATTTAGATGCCATGGGTCTTGGAAACACAATTAAAGAAGAAAATGATGCATCATTACAAGATAAAGCGAAGGCCATGATTTTCCTTCGTCGCCATATTAGCGAGGAGCTAAAAACGGAATACGTCACTGAAAGAGATCCATTGAGTTTGTGGAAAAATTTGAAAGAAAGATATGATTATCAAAAAACAATTATCCTTTTAAAAGCTCGGGATGATTGGCAGCAACTGCGGTTGCAAGATTTTAAAACTGTGGCTGAATACAACTCTGCCCTATTTAAAATCAGCTCTACATTGAAATTGTGTGGTGATATCATCACTGATGAACTTATGTTGGAAAAAACATTCACCACATTTCACGCCTCGAATGTATCCTTACAACAACAATATCGAGAGCGTAAATTTGAAAAATATTCAGAGCTGATATCATGTTTACTTGCGGCCGAGCAAAATAACGAGTTTTTGTTAAGAAACCACCAGTCCCGCCCAACTGGATCGACACCGATCCCTGAAATATATGTTGCCTCCCGTGGACGTGGTAGACATGATCGTGGTGGTAGAAATAGTTATAATAATGAATACAGGAGTGGTCAAAATAACTACCACAATAATGAATACGGTCGTGGTAAAAATAACTACCATAATAATGAATATGGTCGTGATACAAATTACTCTTATTACCGTAGAGGATATCAATCCTCAAACCTTCGCAATCAGAGATCCACACCATATCCCCAAATGAGAGACTATAATGAAATGAAACAAGTAAAAAGGAAGGATATGGCTCAACCTCTCATGGCATTTGATAATACTTGTTATCGGTGTGGAATGACAGGGCATTGGCAAAGTATTTGTCGTACGCCTAAGCATATTGTTGAACTTTACTAGGCCTCCATGAAAGAAAAGGGGAAATAGAAAGAAAAGAATTTCATTGATCATGATGAGCCAGTAGACGTCACAAATCTGAATGTGTCAGATTTTTTTGAGGACCGTGATAGAAAGATTGACCACTTGATTGGTGATGGAAATGTCTACACGAATTAATCCTATTTTCATTTCATGTTCTTTATACTATGTTATCTTTAACAAGTTTTTATTTTCCTTGTATTAAAGTTTTTTTTTCTTTTAGTATTCAAGTTTGTATTAAAGTTTCTTTTGTTATAACTGTTTGTTTTCTAATAAATAAATTTGCATGAATACGAATGGATATGACTGGTTCCAAAATAAATGATGAAGATATATGTCTTGCAGATAGTGGAACGACACACACAATTATTCGAGATTAAAAATATTTTTCTCACCTAACTTTGACAGATGTTAGTGTCAGTATAATATCAGGTCTCACCGACTTGATCGCAGGTTCCGGACGAGCAAACATTATTTTACTACATAAAACAAAATTATAAATTAATGATGACTTATATTTTGCAAGATCTCAAAAAAATTTGTTAAGTTTTAAAGACTTGCGTCGTAATGACTTTGAGAAAAAATGCACAAGAAAAGAACATACTAGAACATTTAGGGAAAAAAAAGAAAAAAAAGAAGAACATACTAGAACCATAGAAAAATGAGTCCCTCTGGCTCTGGTCACTAGTGGAGTCACTAATTTCTTTTTCCTCCCACTTTTCCTTTCTCTTCCCGAGAATATGCACAAGAAAATAACATACTAGAACCCAAAGAAAAATGAGTCCCTCTCGTCACTGGTGGAGTCAATAATTTCCTTTTCCTCCCACTTTTCCTTTCTCTTCCTCCTGAGGAAGCTTTATCACTAAAGTTAGCATACCCTTTCAAGAAGTGGTACTGAAATACCTCTAGAGTATATTTTTCATTTGTTTTTTTTTTTTTTTTTTGGTACATAAATAACATAATTTTTCTTTCAATAGGTATGTGGAATAATTTCTTTAGTAAAGATATATTTTTTGGGATTTTTTTCTAATTCAAAAGAGATAATTTTTTTAGCGGTTAAGTGCATTAATTCCCCTCGACTATGACCGGATTGTAAGAAATCTCCCTAAATTAAAAATACCCCTTGAACTATAAAAATGTTGCATTTCAGTACAATCCGTCAACCATTCGTTAACAAAAAAATAAAATTAGTAATTTGTGAGGCTTTCACCCTGAGGATTACATAATTAGTAATCCACTGTCATAAATAAAACAAGCATAAATGAGAATTGAGAAGCAATATAACAAATGAACTGGTGCCCAATCAAATTAAAAAGATAATTGATTCAAGCTGAATAATCATTAAGATTTATTGTTGAACATAAATAGTAATTCTTAAGATTTGTTGTTGAACAAAAATTGTAGATTTCAACATGGATATATAGTGTACATGTATCTATAATAATGGTTTTAACTGTCAAGGGTATTTTAGGCATTTTAAAATTGGGCAAGGTCATGTGTGTCACATGTCTTAAGTTATAGTTAAATTTTAGACAGCAATCTAACGGTTTGCAACAATTAGAAAGTTTAAGAGGTTAAGTGTTAGTTGAGGGGGTGTTTTAAAAAAGAAAAGAAAGTTAAGGGAGATTTAATGCAATTAACTTTTTTTTTAATGGTTGTTTATTTATTTTTATTTATTTATTTATTTTTGATAAAGTCAAAAAAGACAACTTATCCAACTTTTTTTTAGTCTCGTCCAAAGAGATTTAAAACATTAAAAATTAGAGATAAATAGAGAAAATGTGAAAGGATAATTGCATAATTTAAAAAATAATAATTATTTATTTGTAAAGTTAGAATTATAATTGTCATTTCTTTTAATATTGAAATGCAAACATAAAAAAAAGTAAAGTGTGATTATCCTCTCATAAAGTAAGGATCAAATTTTATAGTCTCATACATGATTTTGAATTGAAAAAACCAAAAAAGAAAAAACAAAAAAAAAAAATATTGATTTTAAATTTGTTTTGAGAAATTGAAAACACACCGAACAGTAATTCAACTTCATTTGAAAAGTTGAATTAAAATTTTGCCGATTTCAAGAACTTTAAAATAACTGTTTGGATACACAGTTTGTCATATTGTGATACCCCATTTCATGGCTTCATAAGTGGAAAGGACACAGACTTCACAATTTTAGCGGGACCACAATTTATTTTCTACTCAAACTTGCCACCAAGGAATGGACTTTGAGAAAAAAAAAAAAAATGCGCCAAAGAAAAGAGCATACTAGAACCAAACAAAAAGGATCTCGAGGTACACTCGTGGGGTCCACTAATCTCTTTTTCCTTCCACTTTTCTTACGTCCAACAAGTGGAAGTAGTGGAAGTGGAAGAGGAAGATAATTATTGTAGTAGTAATAATAAATAAATAAATTTCTTGCCTTGAAAAAAAATAATAATAAAAAAAATAAACCTTCAACTTTCACAAATTTGTAAAAAGTTAATTCTGAATTTTTGAATTTTGCACAAATTTTTTTAAAGTTATCCTGAGCTTATAATTTTGCAATTTTTTTTTTTCTAAACTATTAAAAAAAGGATAATACTTAACTACTCACCGATGAGTAGTTTTACCCTACTCACTCTTTGTGTGTTCCAATAATAATTTACCACATCAATTTTAATAAAAAAATAACCCACATTTGTTCAATAGTTGATCCGAAAAAATATAGGAGGATGTGAATTATTTTATTATTAAAATTGATGTAGTAAATTGTTATTGAAACACACAAGTGGTGAGTAGGGTGAAACTACTCATTATCCTTAAAAAAAATACGTAGATACTCTTTGCGTTTGCATACCATCATAATAGTGAAGGTGATAGGTAATGTAAAACCTGATAAATACTGTATACTAAAGTTCAATTTTGCGGATCTAACTTATTATATTACCTAGTGCGAGAATATTTATTCACTCTGATCATGTGTTGTTTTTTATATTATAGTAAAATCCTTGCAACTTTTGAACGTAGTCCTAGTTTTGGATATATAAAGTAAAAATTTGAATATTCTTGTTGTGTGTGATTGATACGTGTTTATTTATTTTCTGCTTAATTTCACATAAAATTGACATTTTTTAAATCTAAACTATATAATAGTCTTCTTCATTAATTAAAATAGGGTTTGATCATTTTAAAATCTATAAATTGACCTGCAATATAATTGGGTTATCTATATTTCCTATTATATATATATATATCTCTTTTTTTCTCTAATTTTATAACTAGTGTATTTTTGTTTTTCATGCCTTGAGAGGTATATAAAATGGTTAATTAGATGTATATTAACGACAATTTAATATATTGGGGTAAATTGCAACTTTCAAATATTTAAGGGGATTACTTATATCACCAGAAAAGTATTTGCAAAATGGTGAAAATTGAGATTTTTTTTTTTTTTTTTTTTTTTTTTTTTTTTTTTTTTTTTTTTGCGGTTAACCCTAATATTAAGTGAAAAAATAACTGTATTTTGTTGGAGAATTAATATAACTGTGTTTTTAGTTTGAAAATTCATTTTTATCTATGTTGCTTGCCATAAAAAAAAAGTACTTATTCGGTCGTATTTAAATTTGATACTTTATGAAATTCGATTATAGGTTGAGAAGAAATTATTAAAAAGGGGTACATTTACGAGAAGAGGTTAAAATATACTGTATTCCAACACTATATATATTGATAAATTATAGTCAGCAATTATTTGACAGCTTTAAGAAAAATAAGTTTCACTAATTGTTTTCAGAAAAGAGCGTCCTCTCATATCAAGATGCAACAAAATCAATTGTCTTTCAAAATACAAACAACCAATAAAATTTACGATTATCTCTCTTTTGTTGGAGATAGAAAAAATATGCAAAAGATTGGGAAAAAAAAAAAATGGCAGAATGATATGAAGAAATGTATAAAAAGGGTTGGTATTTCAGTATAAATATAATAATATCTCTTGTATTTACATGTCTTTTATAATATTTAATTTAAAAATAAAAGACAATAAACGTGAGCGGCGATCAGGTCAAACGCTTATATTGTCATTATGTAACGACAATCATCTTATTTTTTTAAAAAAAATTACTATTAAATTTAAAATAACACGTCATAGAAGGAGGAATTAGGTCCAACATTTATATTATCATTATGTATCGAACATTTATGCTATTTCTCAAATAACGGATTTTATGATTACACAAAAATTGGGCAGTATTTTTTAAAACGTTTTTTTCTCAAAAAAAATAAATTGAACTCAAAACTAATTACTTTTATTGTTTTTACTTACCGACCAAACAGAACTCATGGAAATTGATTTCCATTGACTATAAAATTTTGCGGAATCACCACCATGCTATTTTCCTTTGAAATTTTGTGAGGTTTCGTTTGGATACATAGGAGAGAAAAGAAATGAAATAATTATAAGAGAAGAGAAAATAAAAGAAAAGAAAGGAAATGATAGATAGGAAAAAAAAGAAAGGAATGAATAATATTCTTGTTTGGATAACACAGAGGGGAAAAAAAAAAAATAATAATTAAAATTATTATTTTACCCTTTTTGTGGGGGTTAGAAGGGCAAATCATTTCAGCCACCCCAAATGCCTCCATCTATGCTCTCGTTACTCTCTCTCTCTCTCTCTCTCTCTCTGTGCAACTGCTAACTTGTATGTAATGGGTTTTGTTTTAATTTTTTTTTTATTTTCTAAATCAACTAACCATGGCCACCAGAATATATATATATATATATATATACAGGGCAAATCATTTTATCCTCACGAATCGCCTCCATCTCTATTCTCGTTCTCAACTCTGAAATTGCCCTCTCTCTCTCTCTGTGCAATTGCAAACTACAAAATCTACAAGAATCTGAAGTTCAAAACCCATATATTTCAGTATGTGTATCTCTCAAATTAGAGTATGTACATATATATATATATATATATATATATATATATATATATATGGATCTTTTTCCTTGGTTTTTGATTCTATATGGGTATTTTTAATTGTGTTGTTCCTAGGTTTTGAGATTTTTAATGGGATTTAGAATTTCTTGTTCGCAAATAAGAAGAAGCATTCGCTGCTTAAGGCGATCGATTTTGGGTTGCCTGTGTTTTTTAAGCCCAGTATGTCGGTGAATTTTTTATTCCTGTTGATGGGTTTGTTGAAATCATTTCAGCTTCCATCTCTCTCTCGTTCTCAACTCTGAACTTGCCCTCTCTCTCTATCTCTCTCTCTCTCTGCAACTGCAAACTGAAAATATTCCAGGCTAATTTTGTCTTTCTCATAAATTATACTGAAATTGTTTCCTTTTACCT